TCAAAAAATTTCTCTGTAGCATGTGATGCTATTTGATAGCATTTTACCAAAAGCAGAACTTCTTTCAAAATTGAGGTCAATCCTCTCAAACCATGCTGCTCCTTTATCAACTAAGTTTATGTAATGTTCTAAACACTTATTGACATTTTAACAATGTTCACAGCATCTTCACTAGGAGTAAATTCCATCTCAAGAAACATTTTCTTTGCTCATCCATGAGAAGCAACTCTTCATCCATTCAAGTTTGACCATGAGATTGCAGCAATTCAGTCATATCTTTAGGTTACACTTCTAATTCTAGTTCTCTTGTATTTTCACCACATCTCCAGTTACTTCCTCCATTGAATCCCTGAACCCTTCAGAGTCATCATCAATGAGATGATTCCTATGATGTTGATATTTTGACCTCTTCTCATGAGTTATGAATGTCCTTAATGGTATCAAGAATAGTGAATCTTTTCTAGAGGTTTTCAATTTGCTTTGCCCAGATCCATTAGAGGAATCACTGTCCATGGCAGCTGTAGCCTTATGAAATGTATTTCTTAAATAATAAGACTTTAAAGTCAAAATGACTCCTTGATTCATCGGCTGCAGAATGAATGCTGTGTTAGTAGATGTGAAAACAACATTCATCTCCTTGTGCATCTCCATCAGAGTTCTTTGGTGACCAGGTATGTTGTCAATGAGCAGTAATATTTTGAAGAAATCTTTTTCTGAGCCACAGGTCTTAACTGCAGGCTTGAAATATTCAGTAAACCATGCTATGAACAGATGTGCCATCATCCAGGCTTTGCTGTTTCATTTCTAGAGCACAGTCAGAATAGATTCGGTATATTTCTTAAGGGGCCTAGGGTCTTCAGAATGGTAAATGAGCACTGGCCTCAACTTCAAGTCATCAGCTGCATTTGCCTCTAACAAGGGAGTCAGCCTGTCCTTCGAAGCTTTGAAGGCAGGCATTGACTTCTCCTCTTTAGCTACGAAAGTCCTAGATGGCACCTTCTTCCAATGGAAGGCTGTTTTGTCTACACTGAAACTCTGTTGTTTGGTGTTGCCCTTTTCATCAGTGATCTTAGCTAGATCTGTGGATAACTTGCCTCAGCTTCTACATCAGCACTTACTGCTTTATCTTGTATTTTTATGTTATGAAGATGCTTCTTTCCTTAAGTCTCATGAATCAACCTCTACTAGTTTCAAACTTTTCTTCTGCAGCTTCCTCACCTCTCTTAGGCTTCCTAGATTTAAGGAGAGTTAGGGCCTTGCTCTGGATTAGGCTTTGGCTTAAGGGAGTGTTATGACTGGTTTGATGTCTATTCAGACCACTAAAACCTTTTCCATATCAGCAATAAGGCTATTTTTTTTTCTTATCATTTGTGTGTGTCTTAGTCCACTTGTGTTGCCTTAAAGAATACCTGAGGCTGAGTAATTCATAAAGAAAAGAGGTTTATTTGGCTCACAGTTCCGCAGACGATACAAGAAGCTCAGTGCCATCTACTTCTGGTGATGAACTGCAAGAAGCTTTCCCTCATGGCAGAAGAGGAAGGGGGGCAGACATCACATGGCCAGAGAGAAAGAAAGGAAGAGAAAGGAGGAGGTGCCAGGCTCCTTTCAACAACCAGATCTCATGGGAACTAAGAGTGAACAGTCACTCAATTCTGCAAGAATGACACCAAGTCATTCATGAAGGATCTGCTCCCATGACCCAAGCATCTCCCACTAGGCCCACCTCAAACAGTGAGGATCAAATTTCAACATGCATTTCAGAGGGAACACATATCCAAACTATATCATTGTGTTTACTGGAGTAGTGTTTCTTTTTTCTTTTTTTTCTTTCTTTTTTTTTTTTTTTGACAGATTCTTGCTCTGTTGCCCAGGCTGGAGTGCAATAGTGCACTCTCAGCTCACTGCAACTTCTGCCTCTGCAGTTCAAGCAATTTTCCTGTCTCAGCCTCCTGAGAAGCTGGGATTACAGGCACCCACCACCACACCCACCTAATTTTTGTATTTTTAGTAGAGACAGGGTTTCATTACTTTGGTCAGGCTGGTCTTGAACTCTGGACCTCAGGTGATCTACCCACCTCGGCCTCTTTTTTTTTTTTTTGTTTTAGGCGGAGTTTCGCTCTTGTTACCCAGGCTGGAGTACAATGGTGTGATCTCGGCTCACCGCAACCTCCGCCTCCTGGGTTCAGGCAATTCTCCTGCCTCAGCCTCCTGAGTAGCTGGGATTACAGGCACATGCCACCATGCCCAGCTAATTTTTTGTATTTTTAGTAGATACAGGGTTTCACCATGTTGACCAGGATGGTCTCGATCTCTTGACTTCGTGATCCACCCGCCTTGGCCTCCCAAAGTGCTGGGATTACGGGCTTGGGCCTCTTAAAGTGTTGGATTTACAGGCGTGAGCCACTGTGCTCGGCCTGGAGTACCACTTTTAATTTCCTTCAAGAATGCTTCCTTTCTATTCCCAGCTTGGCTAATTGTTTGGAGTAAGAGGCCCAATTTTTGGCCTGTCTCAAATTTCCACATGCCTTTCTTACTAAGCTTAGTCATGTCTAGTTTTTGTTAAAATGAAAGAAGTGTGACTCTTCCTTTCTTTTTTTTTCTTTTTCTTTTTTTTTGAGACGGAGTCTTGCTCTGTTGCAGTGGCGCTATCTTGGCTCACTGCAACCTCCGCCTCCCAGGTTCAAGTAATTCTCCTGCCTCAGCCTCCTGAGTAGCTGGGACTACAGGCATGCGCCACCATGTCCAGCTAATTTTTATATTTTTAGTAGAGACGAAGTTTTGCCGTGTTGGCCCGGCTGGTCTCATAACTCCTGAACTCAGGGGATTTACCCACTTTGGCCTCTCAAAGTGTCATGATTACAGGCGTGAGCCACGGCAGTGGCCTGACTCTTCCTTTCACTTGACAACTTCGAGGCCATTGCAAGTTTATTAACTGGCTTAACATGAATATTGTTGTGTCTCAGGAAATAGGGAGGCCCAAGGAGAGGAAGGGAAAGGTGGGGTCAGCCAGTTGGTGGAAAAGTCAGAACATATACATTTATCATTTATGTTCACTGTCTTATTTGGGAGTGGTTTGTGGAACACCAAACACTGCAGTAGTGACATTAAAGATCTCTGATCACAGATCACCATAACAGATTTCATAGTAGTTAAAACGTTTGAAATCTTGGTGGAATTGCCAAAATGTAACACAGGGACACAAAGTGAGCATGTGCTGTTGGAAAAATGACGCCGATGGACTTGCTCAATGCAGGGTTGCCATAAATCTGTGAAGAGCAATAAAACCAAGTGCAATAAAGTGAGATGTGCCTGTTAGCCGATTTCCAGCCATCTTCAGTGACTGGGAATCCACTCCCTACTGGACAGTGTCTTCAGACAGCTCTAATCATTGTCAAGTTTTCCCTTTCTTCTTTATTTCTATTATTTATTATTAAAATTTTTTTTTCTCAGACCTCGCAAGGATTTTTTTTTCTTATAAAGGAATGCTTAAGTGAATTATGAAGCATTCTCATGATGAGTTCTTAAGTCAGTAGTTAAAATCTTAATTACGAATTTCGAATGTCATGGGAAAGACGCTTAAAATACAATTAGGTAAAAACAAAGAAATGAAATTGCATGTATAATATTTCAACTATATTTTAATAATACATAAAAACAAATTATCTAAAAATATTAGTAGTTTGTGCCTCTGGGTGGTGGGATCTCAGGGGATTATTTTTTGCTTGTTTATATTTTTTGTGGCTAAAGGATATTTTTTGGGCATCTCTTACTTTGTAATGATAGAACATGGGGAAGGTATTTTCCTTTCATAAAGATGGAATTTCTTCTTTGATTTATTGAATTCTATTGGTTCTCAGTGTAGGCTCTGAGCATAATTCAGAGCAAATACTTTTGTTCTCTCATGTAATTGCCTTTCAAAAAGTTTGAAGACAGCTTAAGTGTTTAAGCGTGGATGTTTATAGATAGGCAAACAGAAATTGTTTTCTTTTTAAAAATTTAGACGGTAAAAATCTGAAATGGGATGTTTCCATTTCTGTGAGAATGGTACTGTACTCTTACGTCAATACTATGTTTTCCCATCCTCTTCCAAAATAAACCATGGAAAGAAAACAAATTTATCACCCTGGACTTGGTGGTTTTATTGAATTCAACATTTTATGAAACTGGATTTAGTAAAATCAGTTTGAGTTTTCTGAGAGTGTCCCTGAGGTCTTTGGTAAACTTGCACTCTTGGTTTAAGGGGATGAGCAGGACAAGAAGAGCAACTCCTGGGAAGGATGGGACCATTGGGGAAATCAGGTGGGTTGTGGAGAGCCTGGAGGGACTTTAACATGGGACAGTACTCAGATCCCCCTGCCCTCTTGTACCATGACACTGACCCTATTTGGAGTCACCATATTAAAGAGATTTTGACCACTCCATGGCAAAAATGATACTACTCTATAACTATATAGTGTAGAGTCAGTATCCCTGGAATTTAGGGCATAGGCAACTAATCTTTGATAGAAAGTTGAAAAAAGTTTGAAAAAGGATACGTCTGTACATGAATTCACCGTAATGCCTCAGCGTTACCTACCAAGATTAACTCACTGTCCAATCTTAAGTCAACTCAAAATGGTGGAAGAGTTTTTCTGGGGCATGACTCTTGGTAGACTTTTTTACAGGACTTTTTGTCTTAATTCATTTTCCTATGAAACTTTGAAACTCTTAACAATAGTTTTGGGGTAAGTCAATGTTATCCATAAATTTTTCTTGTTTAACCTGTTAAAAGAATTATATAAAAATTAAAAATACCAATCAAAAATTTTTATTCAATAATGAATGTAGATTATTTCAAACAGAGCCAAATACAGCTCTCAATTACATATTTTACATGGGATTTTAAAAGATAAGCTAAAGGTTGGTATCATGGAGTTATGCTGCTCAGGCAGAGCAGTAGATGTGAATCCTTCCTTGCATCTAAAACAAGGCTTATTCTTGATCTGTTTCTTTGTTTCCAGATGGTCTCCCAGCTTGAAGCCCAAATATCTGAGCTCGTTGAACAGTTGGGAAAGGAGTCTGGGTTTCACCAGAAAGCTCTCCAGAGGGCTCAGAAAGCAGAGACCAAGTTGGAGACTCTTCAGGGTCAGCTGACACACCTGGAGGCAGAGCTCCTTTCCGGAGATGTTTTGCGAGACAACTTGAATTTTGAGAAACAAAAAGTAATGACCTGAGAGCATGTCCGTGAGTGGAAGCATCCGGTGTAGTATAAAATTTACCTGAAAATATTCTGAATTTTACAGTACTTAGTTTGGTTAAGTCCTGGACTGTGAGTCAATTTCAAGGAACAATGGCTCTCTTCCTATTGTTTGGAGCTTCCTTGCTTCAAATTAATTTAATTAAGCTCAACAAATATATATTGAACGCCTATCATATATGAGGTCCTAAAGGTTTGGCAAGCTAAAATCGGAATAATACACAGTTCCTGATCATAAAGAGCTCACAATTCAATAGGGGAGACAGGTATTCAGATACTTTGCCATATTATAAGATTATAAGTGTTATATATATTGAATTAATAAAGTGCTATAGGAACTTCTAGATAAAGGGAAGATTTTATGGGAGAGGAGATAATTAAGTTTATCTTTGAAAGATAAGTAGGCTTATAGTGGCGAGGAGAGACAGATCCCGTAGGGGAAACAGTTTGAACAAAGGCCTGAAATCTTGCAAGTGCATAGTATATTCAGAGAATGCTAAATGGTGAATCCTGTACGGCTGGAACATGTTATTCTTGGTGGATCTGTGACAAGAGAGAAGACTGGAATGGCTTAGATTATGAAGATGGAATATTCTTTACTCTGTAGAATATGAAGTGTGGTAAGTGTGAGCATTGCAGTATTTTAGAAAGATAGTGTGACGTCCCTGTGAAGCTGAGATTGTGGCATGGAGAGTCTCAGAAGCAGTGGCGCCAATAACCCAGTGGGAGAGGAGAGTGAAATGAGAAGAGGAGGGGTTCACACTGAGGATTCGAATGTGGGGAGATTGTCAGTGATTTTTGAGAGGCAGTTTTGGTAGAGTGGTGGAGAGCTGAAGCCAGTTTGCTTTGGGCTGAGGGGAGACTAGAGAGGGAACGGGGAGTGACCTCCAAGTAGAACAATGTGAAGCTTGGTGACCAAAGAGAAGAGAGGCATGAGGCAGCAGCTGTAAAAACGGGATCAAAGAAAGGTTTTTCTGGACAGGATGGGGAGGTAAGAGTGGATTGGAAGAGTTCGTAGGAGGGTTTGTGGGAAGGGAAAGGGAGGCACACAGCCTCAAGAGCCTCGAAATGCAGCATTTGGCATGAAAAGTACTCTTAAGCTGAAACAGCTACACTCAAGTAACATATTCCTTTTTGTTCTTCTGTTTTTAAAACACGGAGGAATCGTCATGCCTGAATTGAGGTTGAATATGCAAAGATGCGCCAAAGGTGTCTGGAAAATCAAGTCTAGTGGATGAGGCAGGGAGATTGGGGCTCAACAGTACAATTAGTGCCATGATGGAGGCAGGTATAAAATCTGACAGAACTTGGAAAAAGGAGCAATGACTTTTTTTTCTGTAAGGGAAGTGAGCCATCTTCACAGAAGAGGTGAGCATTGAAGAATGAGTAGGAATTTGTCAGGCAGAAGAGGTCGGGAGGAATTGGAGGCAGAAAGAATAGCAGGAACAAAGAAGAAATGGAGGTGTGTGAAGATGGCTCAGGAAATGAATGAGCTGCAGGGAGCCTGGGACATGATACTTGGTGAAACCAAAGGCATGGGATGGCACTGGAGGCATGTAGGCATCATTGGAATGGGTCAGTCTGGGCTGGGGGTGGTGGCTCACACCTGTAATCCTGGCACTTTGGGAGGCTGAGGCGGGTGGATCATGAGGTCAGGAGATCGAGACCATTCTGGCCAACATGGTGAAACCCTGTCTCTACTAAAATACAACAAATTAACCGAGCGTGGTGGCACATGCCTGTAGTCCCAGCTACCCGGGAGGCTGAGGCAGGAGAATCACTTGAACCCAGAAGGCAGAGGTTTCAGTGAGCCGAGATGGCACCACCGCACTCCAGCCTGGGTGACAGAGCAAGACTCCATCTCAAAAAAAAAAAAAAAAAAAAAAGTCCGTCTAATGACTCAAGCTTCATTGCATAGGTAATGGGAAGCCAGAGAAGGTTTTTGAGTAAAAGATTTTGCTCAAGGAGGACTGGCTTAGAGGGTAGCAGGGCTATCCAATCTTTTGGCTTCCCTGGGCCACATTGAAAGAATTGTCTTGGGCCACACATAAAAGACACTAACACTAATGACAGAGGATGAGCTAAAAAAAAAAAAAAAAATTCTATGCATAATTTTTGAGATATCTGCAACCACAGATAAGCAAAAACATCCTTATATTCAAAGGGCTGGACATAGCTGAGGGGAGGTAGGGAGCCCAGTCGGGGGCTATTCAGACTAGTCCACTTCAGAAATAATAACGATCCGAACCATGTAGTGGTTTTGTGAAGGGAAATAGGGGAAAGAGTTGAGAAGTCTGGGAGAGGGAAGGGAGCTTTTTCTATTAGATATCTGTAAAGGTGTGTTGGTGGAAAATTTGATTTTGTAAAGAAATATTGGTTGGGCATGGTGGCTCATGCCTGTAATCCCAGCACTTTGGGAGGTCGAGGCAGGCGGATTGCTTGAGCTCTGGAGTTCAAGACCAGCCTGGCCGACATAGCGAAACCCCATCTCTACTAAAAATACGAAAATTAGCCAGGTGTGATAGAGTGTGCTTGTAATTCCAGCTACCCAGGAAGCTGGGGCAGGAGATTGCTTGAACCCAATAGGCAGTGAGCCGAGATCGTACCATTGTACTCCAGTCTAGGTGACGGAGACTCCCTCTCAAACCCCCTCCCCACAAAAAACTTCAAAAATAAACAAACAAACAAACCAACCCCCCCAAAAACCACAACCAAACAAAAAGAAACATTGCACCTGAGTATAGTAACATAAGTTGGAAGCCACCTAAGTGCCTGGGGGACAGCTTCGCCTGCATGGTCCGTGAACACCAAAATATATTCAAAACTGCAATGACATCTGCTCAGATGTGTGTCTCTCTCCTGCGTCAGTAATGGCGGTAATCTGCCTCCACTTGCCCAAGCCATCTTCAATGCTTCCCTCTTTTTAATCAATTCCCAAGCAATTTCTCCTGCCAGTGGGGGAAAACTCAGAAGCCTTCTGGGAGTGGCAGGACCCTGGTGGGGTCCGCGGTGAGTGACTGTGAGCCTAAAGACATCACATGCAAATTGGTAGCAACACTCCTCTGCCTTCCTCCGGCTGCCTCCCATATGCCCACAGCTATTCTCATGGAGAGAATGTTCTCCTCACCTCCTTCACCTGGTAACAAGAATTTCTTCATGATCCAGCTCAAATACCGCTTCCTCTGGCAGTCTTCCCTAAGAGATTTATTTATCTTTCCTTAGGCTCCCCAAGCAACACATACATGCCTCTCTCAGGGTACTTTTTACCCTTACTGGATTGTTTTAAATTTTTTCTTCTCCAAATATTCCAAGCTTCTTGAGGCCAGAAGAAATTATTTTTTCCTGCATTTCTCCAGGGCTTAGAGAGTCAATAAATATTATTTGAATTATAGAAGAAATCTCTCCAAGGCAAGAATTTCAGGTGGATTGGTATTTCTTCCCTTACCTCACTATAGGTAAATCACTAATTTTAATTGGGATTATGCCTAAATAACTATCAATTATGAAAGCAAATTATGTAAGCTCATTCTGTCCATGGTGAATTTTCTGTTGCTGTCTATGAGATGCATGTTCTGGTAAGGACGGAGAGTATGCAAATTGAAAAGCAAAGTTGCACAGGTTTAAATGGTAAATGCAGGTAATCTAGGCAGACACAAAGAGAGTAGATGCAGTTTCTTATTTATGCTGAACTGTGATTAAAATGAACAATACATACAGTAATCCTTCATTTCTATGAAGTCAAACATTTCTAGTAACCTTAATTTTCTGAAGTATAGCCAAGATCCTTGAAATAGCAACTTTGTCGATGGAGCCTCAGCTTGGTCTTGTCTTAATCCCTTTTTACCTGTTGTAGTACTTGTATACTAAATGGATGGGTCATAGGTAGAAACATGAAAAAAAGAGGCTTTCATACTGTCACGTAAAAGGTACTCATGTATTTTACATAAAATATAAGCAATAGCAGTTACATTACTTTCATAGACAGATTAAAAAATAAAAATTCCAGATAGAGAGCCGATACAGCATTAAAAAGTAATAACCCAAGGATGCAGAGACAAAAGCAGTTGATGGTATTGTAGCACAATACAATAAGTGATATTTGCAATGACTGTGACTTATAAAGAAGAGATAAAGTTGTATTTATATGTACGCTATTTGCCAAAATTGGAAAATATACACTTATAAATAATTTCATCCTGATAATTAAAGCATAGCTAGTTCTTGGCTTTAAGCTGGTGTGCTTCAGTTGGCAGGAAATTGTACCTACTGAAACATTTAATTGCCTGAAAATGCCAGATGGATAAGTTATCGCAATCAGAAGACAATATCAAAGATAAAACCCAAATCATGAAATTAGGATATAGAAAGCTTATTGATTGATTTATTCATCCAGCAAGCACTTAGTAAGCATTATCCTCTGTGTGGGCTTGCCAGATAAACCACAAAAATCAAGTAGAGAAAAATCTTTAAATAGCTCTGTAACTTTAGACTGCTAACATATGAATCTTGACTTTCATACAGCTCTATTTTTGGAGGTATTTGTTTAATTTGGATGCATTAGACAATTTTAAAGACATTTTCTAAAACATCTTAATAAAAAAGACCCCCAAAATGTTCAAAATTTTGTTTGTATGGAGAGCTTTGAGTTTGGAGTGCTCTGTAGAGCCTAAGAAGAGTAAAGTGGTAACTGACTAAGTTGCCAGTGTCCACCTTTGAGGCCAGGGCCCAGTTAGGTGGGAAAAATTCCCAAGAAAGGTGCATGGGCGGGTGTATTTGTCCATTTTCACACTGCAGATAAAGACGTAGGCTGGACACGGTGGCTCATGACTGTATCCCAGCACTTTGGGAGGCCAAGGTGGGCGGATCACCTGAGGTCAGAAGTTCGAGAACAGCCTGGCCAACATGGTGAAACCCCGTCTCTACTAAAAATACAAAAAATTAGCCAGGTGTGGTGGTGTGTGCCTGTAATACCAGCTACCTGGGAGGCTGAAGCAGGAGAATTGCTGGAATCTGGGAGGCGGAGGCTGCAGTGAGCTGAGACAGTGTCACTGCACTGCAGTCTGGGAGACACAGGGAGATTCTGTCTTAAAAAAAAAAAAAAAAGAAAAAAAAGGTATACTTGAGACTGAGTAATTTATAAAGAAAAATAGGTTTAATGGAGTCACAGTTCCACGTGGCTGGGGAGGCCTCACAATCACAGTGCAGGGATGTCTTACATCGTGGCGGGCAAAGAGAAAGAATGAAAACCAAGTGAAATGGGCTTCCCTTTATAAAACCATCAGATGTTGTGAGAGGTATTCGCTACCATGAGAACAGGATGGGGGAAACTTCCCCTATGATTCAATTAGCTTCCACCTGGTCCTTCCCACAACATGTGAGAATTATGGGACCTACAATTCAGGATGAGATTTGAGTGTGGACACATCCAAACTGTGTCAATGGGTGGATCCCAGCACTGGATTAGTCTGGGAGGGCCATGGTTGCAGCAGCAAGTAGCCAAAGCAGAGACATGAGAATGCAATCAAACAGCCAAATGTGTCATTTGTCAGGGTTAAGGAAAGTGCATAATATTCGATTGAACATCAACATCATGGACCAAGAGAGTCAAGAGCATTCAGACAAGGGGTAGGCAGGGAACTGGCCAGGTGGTTCTGGAATATACATTCCACTCCATTCTCTCTGCATTCTACATTGTCTCTGCAAAAGAGAATTACCTGTAAGCCTGGGAAAAAGAGGAAGAGATTCTGTGAGATCATCCATTAACTTTGACTTTCATGTTCCATTTTCGTTTTTGTTCTTGGGTTTAGTATCTTAAATTTCTGGATCAGCTTTTGGAGAAAATGAAGTTGGACCAGATGGCTGCTGAACTTGGCTTTGACATGCGGCTGGATGTGGTTTTAGCTCGAACAGAGCAGCTGATTCGTCTTGAGAGCAATGCAGTCATTGAGAACAAGACCATTGCCCAAAATTTACAGAGAAAGGTAGGGGATATTGAAACTTGCTAGTATTGACAGAAGAAATTTCTGAAAAACTCAAATATTGAAAAATAATGTACCACCACCATATTTACCAGTGTAGTTAGGAAGCATCTTATAAAAATATGTATCTAGAATTGGAGGCTCAACTTTAAGTCTGAAGAGTTGGTAAGTGTATCTGTCACCTAAAGTCAAGGTTGTGTTTCACTGTGTGTAATAGGGACCCACAATGACAATGACTTAAACGAGTAGAAGTATTTTTTTTTTTTTCCCCTCACACAAATTCCTGGAGATGGGAAGATTGGGACTGGTGTGGCAACTCTCCTCTGTAAAGTCTTCAAGGAACCAGATCATTTCAGCTGGTTCACTTCCCATTCCTAGGGTGATCCTTATTCTCATGGTTCCGAATCGTGCCTGGAACCATTGTATCTGCTTTCAAGGTAGAATAGAAGAAAGGAGTGAGAAAGAGGGCTGCGAAAGAACAAGCAAGAGGTATCTTTTGAAAAAGGCACTCAGAATTTGCTACATGAACTTTTGTTTATATCTCATGGCCGGAATATGTTTTGGTGGCCAAACCTAGCTGCAAGGGAGGCTTGCAAATGTAGCCTTTACTATGGGTAGCCATTTACCTAGCTAGAAAAAATTTATAGTTTCTATTACTCTGGGAGAAGAGGAGAACTGGGGGGACATTTAGCAGCCTCTGCATTTATAAGCTCAGTTGCACTGAAAATTCTAGTAGAGAGAGAAGGGTTTCCTTTTCTTCACCCAAAGGAAAAGTTAGGAACAGTTTAGATTAAATCAATGAATGGATGGATGAAAGGGATAAAATATAATTATTAGTTACATAATTATTGGTATTGGAGAAAGAAATAGGAAAACACAGATGCATTCTTATAATAGTTCTTAGGAGAAAAATGCTATGATACAATTCCAGTGTAGATGCTGAATAATAAGTCACATCTGGGCTCCCAATTTGGCTCCATCAAGCTGTGTGACCTTGTACAAATTATATACTTCTCTGTTTCTGTTTCCTCATATTTAAGATGGGGATGCTATGTACCTCAAAGAGTTGTTAGTTTTTAATAAATAACATTTTCAAACCCTTGGCTCACAGAAGATGCTCTATTCATGTTTGGCTTCTTTTCCACTACCATATCATGAGAAACATTTTATAAAAGATAGCAGATAAACCCTATTACTGTTATAGACATTAAATTAATCTAGCATTCTTTCAAAAATTCTGCTCATGTAATTGATTCTTTTTCTCAATATCCAACACCATTACTTCTTCATAATTACATAATTATTAAACTTACATCAGTGTACAGAACTTACCAGTGTAAAATTGCAATGGAGTGGAATTTTTTTTCTTTTCTTTTTTTTTTTTTTGAGACAGAGTTTCACTCTTGTTGCCCAGGCTGGAGTGCAATGGCTCAATCTCGGATCACTGCAACCTCCTCCTCCCAAGTTCAAGTGATTCTCCTGTCTCAGCCTCCCAAGTAGCTGGGATTACAGGCACCCACAACCTGGCCTGGCTAATTTTTGTATTTTTAGTAGAGACAGGGTTTCACTATGTTGGCCAGGCTGGTCTCAAACTCCTGACCTCAGGTGATCCACCTTCCTTGGCCTCCTAAAGTGCTGGAATTATAGGATTGAGCCACCATTCCTGACCTGGAGTAGAATTTGGCATGAAGAAGCTTAAGAAAGGGAATTTGGTTAGAGAAATATTAAAAAGGCCTTGTTCAAAAGTGATCTAGGTAGGGACACAGCTGTCACTGTTAGGCAGGATACTCAAAGCAGCATTTCAGTAAGTCTTTCCACCTTCTGCTACTTTACAAGTGCAGAGTAGATAATTAGGGGAAATTCTATGTTCTTCAGTTTGAACACTTGATAATTCTACGTGATTCTGATTCTGATGTTTGTTGTAGATGACAAAGGTTTCTGTACTTAATATTCCATCCACTACTTGTGACATGTGGCACCCAGGAAGATTCTTTCCCTTCTGGAGCCCATAGTCATTTTCTTAAATATCACTCTAATTTCCTTTTTTTAAGTTTGATTACCAGTGATAAATGATGTTTGAGGACCTGTTGTCTGCTTAGTTTGTGGATCTTATAGGCTAGGCATATAACAAAGACCTTTTTACAGTTCCTTTTATTTCTAAGATTTTATATATATAAGCAAAGCTTTCTTAAAAATCTCCTTGGTATATCTTACTTTAAAAATATATCAACTCTCAGCTGGGTCCGGTGGCTTATGCCTGTAATTCCAGCAATTTTGGAGGCTGAGGCGGGCGGATCTCTTCAACCCAAGAGTTCATCACTAGCCTGGGAAACACGGTGAAACCCTGTCTTTACGAAAGATACAAAAATTAGCTGGGTGTGGTGGCATGCACCTATAGTCCCAGCTACTTGGGAGGCTGAGAGGTGGAAGGATTGCTTGAGCTTGGGAGGTAGAGGCTGCGGTGAGCTGTGATCATGTCATTACACCCCAGTCTGCACAACAGAATGAGATGCTATCTTAAAAAAAAGTTGATATATATCAACTCTCATGTCGAGGTCTGCCTTTCCCAGTTCTAAAGGATTGAAATGAGCCAGTTTAGGTTTGTGGTACGCACTTCCATTGTATCTTATTTCAGAAAACGCCAGTTCAGGTACTATGGCCGTTAGATGTTGGACAGGATTTTGTCTCTCTGATTATATTGTGCTTTCGATAAACCCATCTGAGGAGTTTTTTAAAAGCAATTTACATTTTTATGATGATGCACATAATGTTAGCATCGGATGTGGAAAGCCGACACTTCCACACATTTTCTTGGTCTCTTTTGTCTCAGATTTTAGCTATGCAATTAATTCTTGGAAAGAGTATGAATAAAAAATGCAATCAGGAAAAGGAATCCAATGACCTTTTTTTGATGGTTTACAAATTAGTCTTATTGAAGTGTAGATAAAAATCAACATTATCTGGGTAACTCATTTATATTTACTGTTGTTCAATTATTAAAAAAAAAATCCCTGCTGGCATCAAACCAGCTAAAGACACAGAAAGAAAGACTGGAGAGCAAAGAACTACACATGAGCCTCCTCCGGCAGAAAATCGCCCAGCTGGAGGAGGAGCGGCAGGCACGCACGGCCTTGGTGGTTGAGAGAGACAGCGCTCATGTCACCATCAGGAACTTGCAGAAGAAGGTGGAGAGGATGCAGAAGGAGCTGAGCATGTGTCGAGACTTGAACACCGAACTCAAAGCCAAACTGGCTGACACCAATGAACTGAAGGCAGGTGCTCGGCTCCATTTCCTTGTTGCTTTTTGCTCGTTACCGTCAATATTTATGCAAAAGAATGACAGCCTTATCAGGACACACCAGAAAAAGAAAGATGAAAACTTCTTCTGATTTTCTAGAGTTGTGGGAAAATGCAAAAATGACACAAATCAGAGTATATATCCATTTAGTGTCTCTTCAATATCTGAAGTGAAGTCATCACTGGGTGAAAAGTCAGTCAAAAAGCAATGTTTTATTTATTTATTTATTTATTTATTTGAGGCAGAGTTTTACTCTTGTCGCCTAGGCTGGAGTGCAGTGGTGCGATCTCGGCTCACTGCAACTTCTGCCTCCCAGGTTCAAGTGATTCTCCTGCCTCAGCCTCCCTAACAGCTGGGATTACAGGCACGTACCATGATGCCTGACTAACTTGCTATTTTTAGTAAAGATGGGATTCTTCCATGTTGGTCAGGCTGGTCTTGAACTCCCAACCTCAGGTGATCTGCCTGCCTCAGTCTCCCAAAGTCCTGGGATTACAGGTGTGAGCTACTGCACCTGGCCAAAAAGTGGTGAAGTTTTAAGTCCAGGAAAGAAACACATTTCTCCAAAGTGTTGATGGGTGCTATTAAGGATGATGCAGGGATTTATCACATTGGAATTTGCTTAGGAAGAAATAAGAAAATAGGCACAACTGTTTGCTGAGAAGAGCCAGGCAGGCAAGGGTATTTATGTTGTGCTTTGTAGGATGCGTCATTACCAAGTCCAGCAGAGAAGGTCAACAGACTGGGGAGAATAGTTCCTTGTATTCAAGGTGTTCAACTTCTAACAAAGGCAGAACAAAAAGAAAGAAAAACTTACAAGAATGTAATCAAAAGATTTATGTGTCATGCATGTGTGTCACTGGCAATAATATGTAACTTCATATGCACACCTCATCCCCAACAGGTGTGCAAATCACAAGTATAATGGACAATAACACTCTGGCTCTTTGCAGACGATGCTCTGAAACTGCTTTTTGGAAGGTTTCTGAATCTGCCAACAGACATGCAGGGAAAAAGAATTTGGAATGAAGCCAGCCCTTGAACATGTGTCGTGGGGACAATGTTTTAGAAAATATTTTCTACTGTATTTTCCCTTCTGAGTAATTTGCTTTTCCTTGCTGAAGCTCTTCTGCCATTGGGACGAATGACCAAGTTGGAGCATGCTTCCCTGGAGAAGGGGGGGACAGGCGCCCATCAGAGGAGGGGACGGACATACTTGAATACAAGGAAAGAGGGAAGGAAGGGAAAGCATCTGAGGTAGTGCCATGGGTGGGGAGGGAATATCAGAGGTAAGTCCCCTCAACAGTCCCTTTACAGCAGGCGTCCCCAAACTACGGCCCGCGGGCCACATGCGGCCCCCTTAAGGCCATTTATCCGGCTCCCCGCCACACTTCAGGAAATGGCACCTCTTTCGTTGGTGGTCAGTGAGAGGAGCACAGTATGTGGCGGCCCGCCAATGGCCTGAGGGACAGTGAACTGGCCCCCTGTGTAAAAAGTTTGGGTGCGCCTGCTTTACAGCTTGAGACTGACCTTTAGTGGGGATTTGGGGTGGGGTAGGATAGCATCAGGCGCTCCATCCCTGACTGGAAGGGGCTGCAAAAGATGATGAATCTGGGGCCCTAGATTGCACCCCGATTCCCTGGAGCCTGGAGTTCCATTTTCACTAGTGAGGGATATGGACGACAGCTGAAGACACACACTGGAGAGCTCATTACAGGAGCAGATGGGGGTGTTCCCTTCAACTGCGGGACAAAGTGACCCTCCATCAAAGGCCCTCGGGCAATCACCTAGGCTATGGCACAATAGCAGCTACAACCAAGCCTTGAATTAGCCAAGACCAGTGATGGGGCCTTGACTCTGGTGAGTGACCCTCACAAACTCCATGAGTCAAATAATAGATACAGGAGAGATTCAAGGGCAGCATGAGGGCCTGTGTCACTTCTCCTAATATCACAAGGACTTTCCTCCACTCAGTCATCATTTCAGAAAGAAGGGAGAGAAGAATCCCCTAAAGATGGCATTGCATGAACAAAAACAAATTTTAAACCCAAAGAGACACAATTAGTTACAAATGCCATCTGCTTGAACCATTTGGAGTGATGGTGGTGGGGAGTTTGTTTTTTATATCCAAAGGACTATGCAGATTATCCTAAAGTTAACATGGCTGGGACACTGCATCAGGTGCTCCTGATTGTAGGATGTGCAGGCGTTCATCCCTAGGCCCCTCTGACATCCTTATTTATCAGGATACAGGAGTATTACTTTGTTAGAGAGAACAAAGGGCCTTTGAACACTTCCAAAGAAGCCAGAGGAAAAGTAAAAAAAAAAAAAAGAAGAAAACTAGTGGTAAGACAGCTAATAGTGGGAGAATGTAATTCAACAAAATAGGAAAAGAAACCTCACCATCATAGCCAATGTGTGATGCAGACTTTTGAAAAGGAAACAAAACTCCGGGCCTCAAAGAACAATAAGGAGAATCCACAGACCTGATGTAACACTTTTGAAGAATTTCTCTTACCCATAGGGAGACGGTTTCATGTAACAAGGATATGGTTAATTCAGAGGTGTACAGTGTTTCACAAACTCAGACTGAAAAATCAAACAGTCTCCTGTCTCTGCCAAGACTTTATAAACGTAGATTCCTTCCCAGTGCTGTCATGGTATTTGGTACAACACTGCTTCTGATTCAACAACAGTTGGTTGTAGCAGAGGATGAGGATGGGTGACGATGCAGTAATAGGCGAATAGGAGGTCTGGTTGGCTGCTGATGACCCCTTGACAGTGTCCGGCAGTTAGCGGGTGGTGGAAGAAGCTGAGCAGTGGACAGGGGCCAGATCACCTGGAGCCTTATGTGTCACGCCAAGACGTTTGGACTTATCCTCTGGATCCTGGGGGGTCATTGGAGGATAACATTGTCAGGAAAGGGACTGAGAAGAAACAGAGAGAGAAAGGGAGAGAGCAGAATGAGGCTGTGGTCAACTGTATCAAGTGCAGCAGTGAGATAATGATGAAGGAGTATCCACTGCACTTGGCTTTGGAAAATCTGTGATTCAGGCATGTACAGATCATGGTGGTAGTGAGTGAGTGTTTTGAGAATAAGCTAAATTTCAGGGATGAAAGAGAAATGAAAACAGAGACAGTGCAATACCCTTCTGGGATACTTGGATGAAAAGAAGAGAGTTCGGAAAGTAAATAAAGTTGGCTTGTGTATTTACTTGGTGGTTTTATTTTGCATAGACAGAGCCACAGAGCCACACACTTTTACAGATAAGATATAGGAATGGTGGCCGGGCACGGTGGCTCATGCCTGTAATCCCAGCACCTTGGGAGGCTGAGGTGGGTGGATCACTTGAGGTCAGGAGTTCGAGACCAGCCAAGCCAACATGGTGAAACCCCGTTTCTACTAAAAATACAAAAATAGCTGGACGTGATAATGCGCCCCTGTAGTCCCAGCTATTCGGAGGGCTGAAGCAGGAGAATCACTTGAACCCAGGAGGCAGAGGTCGCAGTGATTGGAGACTGTACTACTGTACCCCAGCCTGGGCGACAGAGTGAGACTGTGTCTCAGGAAAAAAAAAAAAAAAAAAAAAAAAAAAAGATGTAGGAAAGGCATAGGCGAGACTTGGTTAGACTAACTCAAGAATTACTCAGGCCCCTACGTATGTCAAAGGAATGTTAAGTTTGCCTTCCAGTGGAGAATAGCAATCTATTGCTAACTTGCTAACACAGTAAATGCCAACTTCATGCATTTATGAGATATCAAATACAGAATAGATTTTTATTTTGTATTTGATACAAATCCAAAATATCAGACTTCTGATATCAATGTCCAAGACAGACTACTGAGAGTAACTATCCATAATTGTACATGGGCTAAGCTGGTCCCTGTATTAATTTCACTATCATAAAGTAATATTTCTAGACATTAGCAAAAATAGCTTTACTGTATTAATGTCTTAGGGCTACCCAATGGCCACAAAGCGGATGGCTTAATACTTAATACTGCTAACAGCCATTGGTATAGCTGCATAATTCTAATCTCTGCCTCCCCTTCACATCACCTCCCCCGTGTGTATCTCCTTTTCTATCTCTTACAAGGACATCCATTGTTGGTGTTAGGGCCCATCCTAATTTGAAATTATCTCGTCATGAGACTCTTACCTTAATCATTACCTGCAAAGGCCCTTAGCTAAATAAGGTCACATTCTGAGGTTCTGGGTGGATGCAGCTTTTGTGAAGGCACTATTCACCCTACTACACTTATTAAATTAACAATTTTACCACTCTTTTAGGAACAAATAAAATAATAATTTGAGTTATATTTCTATGTTTTTTTAAATGAGAAATATTTCTAAGTCATAAAGTTTATTTTTAAAGTATATAATTTAATGGTATTTAGTATATTGACAAGATTGTTCAAACATGACCACTATCTAATCCTAGGACTTTCCATCACTGCTCCCACATTCTGCCCCAGAATCCTACACCCATCCACGATCATTCTTCATTTACCCTTTCTTTCACCTCTGGTAACCAGTAATCTTTCTGTCTTTATAAATTTGTCCATTCTATAAATTATATATAAATGGAATCATATAATATGTGGCCTTTGTCTCTGGCTTCTTGTAGTCTGTTTTCCTGCTGCTGATAAAGGCATATCTGAGACTGGGCAATTTCCAAAAGAAAGAGGTTTAATGGACTTATAGTTCCACGTGGCTGGGGAGGCCTCGCAATCATGAAGGTGAAAGGCACTTCTTACATGGCAGTGGCAAGAGAGAATGAGAGCCAAGTGACAGGGGTTTTCTCTTATAAAACCATCAGATCTCATGAGACTTATTCACTATTATGAGAAAAGCATGAGGAGGCCACTGCCATGATTCAATTATCTCCCACTAGTTCCCTCCCACAACATATGGAAATTATGGGAGCTACAATTCAAGATGATATTTGGGTGGTGACACAGCCAAACCATAT